ACTATATTTAAACACAAAATAGGTTCCTCATTTTTCCACATAATATGCATTCGTTACTTTGTAGAAACGTTTTAATATCTCAGAATTGGCATTTGGATACACAAAATGTTCAAGAAAATCGTCCTCTAAATAATTAGCAATAAAGCGGTGGTGGGGGGGAGGGTTCTCTTTTGAAAAAACAGAAATCTGTATCGGCACAGGACACTGGTTAAAAAGAAGCGCGACAAACATCAGACATTCGAAAAGTTGGCATTTTAGGTGTACTTGAAATTCTATAAAGCAGAATTCGAAAAAGTTTAAAAGGAAAAACGGGGGGAGGGGAGTGGGCATTGTTAAAAAATCACCCTGTACATCAAACACGGATATACCTATTGGTCATACGCCACCGCTGTCTGTTCATTTAATATTATTGTTTACTTCCGAATTGACTTCCGTGTCAAACGTCCATATACCATTTTATTATTATTATTATACGTCTTGGAAGTATCGATTGTCACGGTGAATTTTTCACCTAAACATTCGATACATAACCAATTATTTTGTTATATTATAATCGTCGGAATAGTAATGATGATATAGGTTTATGGTTTTAAAATGTCATGACATTTATTTTCCTGAAATATTTCATGGAAAATAAAATGTTTATTATGTTATCTAAAAGTATGTAGTCGTCAACTTCCGAGTGAACATTTTTAAAAGTTGGAAAATGTGAGCAACAAAGAAAATAAGTAACATATTTACACATAATTTATAAGCTGTAAAACAAATCTATAATATATAATACACATTTAATCATTGCCTTTTGAGTTACAAACTCATAAGCCGATTTTACATCATAACGTATCGTTGAGAGCTAAGGCTCTGTGAATGCATATTATATTATACTATATTATTATAATTTCATTACATTACATTCTCAATGTATAGACACAAACCACTCTTCGTAGTCGTGAGTCCGTGACCTTTTACAATAAACAAAATATGATCTCAGTATTAAATAATGAGTCCACAGCACTTTCACATCACTCAGCCACATACACGCACGCATATACGACTTTTGTACACTTTATAATGATTACTGAAAATACACTATTATTTCATTCACTGTTTGAACATTGACTTCAACTTTATTTCAAACCATTATCTTTTGGATGGCTGACGGTCCGCATACAGCAGTGTTTTAAAACTCATATAAAAAAAAAATGTTTTTACTCTCAAAATAATGCCAGGAATATTTTTGATAACTATATACATTATATAGAATAAACAAATATCATAAAATAATAAATTATCTAAACTAATATGTTTTTCTTTATTAAAATCTTTACAAATTTCGTAATCAATATATCATTTATAATAATTTAACACGTTTAAAAGAAGAAAAAATATTTTTCATTATTTAATTGAAATATTTCAAGAAGAGTGAAGTTTTCAATTTTTAAATATTTCAATTGGAAAATTTCATGTGAAATATTTCAAATTCATAACCCCATAAACAAGGTTAGATATTAAAGAGATAAAAGTTAAAATTAAGTTAATTAACTCGTTACTTTTTTTTCAAATTAACTTTTAACTTAATAAGTTACTTTTTTTCAAGATTAACGTGTTAACTTCAAGTTAATTTTATTTCAAAAATATCTAAATGAAGTTAATTTTTTTCCGAAGAATAATGCAAATTTTAGAATGTGTTTTTACTTTGATGTATTATTTTAAATTTCCCCAGTAATTTTCTTGAACGAAAAACTATCTAATAAACCATATTATTATGTGTCCGGAATTTTTATTTTTGCACATAAGCAAATTTTAACTTTGCACTAAGTTAAGTTACTTTTTTTCCAAAATTAACTTTGTTAAAACTTAGTTAAAAAAAAATCGTTGACTTGCTGTCTATAAGGTTATACGTATATATACGTTAAAATTTGGGATATTCTGTTGTGGAATAATATGTGGTCGTCGTCGTCGTCGTCGTCGCAGTCGTTGTTGTCCGAATTTAATAACAATAATATTATACACTTCCGGCCTAATTGAAAACCATAGTATTGTTTTTATATTAATATGTAAGTCTCCCTACTGCCGAGCACCATACCATACGATTATTGACTTTTAGACATCGTGTGACATGTATATCACATAACAACTATACAAGTCGCATATTCCGGCTATAATGCACTGCCAGTTGTACGATTTTTAATAATTTGGGGCACCGACGTTATCGTAGTAATAACTGGTAAGATTGACTGCAGTATTGCACTAAAAAAATACCGAAAGTTGCACTCGAGAATCAAAAAAATTCACTAAAAATAAATGTTTTCAATTGATTGATATTAATTTATTATTATTATTATTTTTTTTGTTTTTGTTTACTTTACCGTTCCCAGTATACTTTAAATAAAACTGTACAATAATATATAAGACAACATTTAAAGTTTATTTTCATATTTTTTTTTTCCATTAATAATATTTAAATTTTGATTTAAAAATCTAAACTTCCACTATAAACATAATTGTTTATGGTATTAAAATTGTTTTATAAATGAGTCGGTTCAACAAAATCGCAATAAAATTTGAAAAAATCACAAAAAATCGCACTTGAAAACTATAGATTTTAATTCCTACTTGCATATTGTAAGGCATTTAAAACTTACTCGACAGTTGACCTAACAATACCTTGTAAGTAACGACAGTAGAAAAGCTGAAAATTCAACAATACGTCCGTGACCTAATTATCATAATGCCTAACGCTGTATGGACTAAAATTAACTATAATAAGCATATAGTGAATTACTGACATTTGTACCTGAAGATACTTTGCTGAGCAGAACGATGAATGTATTGATTTTACCCAATGATGTGTTTTTTTTTTCGTCGGTCTTTGGGACAGAAAAAATGCTATGATTTTCTACTTCAGCATATTAGGAAAGTGATTCTAGTTGGTACTTTGGGACAGGGAGGGGGGGGGAGGTTCAAAAGTAAAAAGTGGGCAATTGGTGTTGCTCTGCTCTATAGTAGGTTACAAGTGGGCCACTGTAATGGATGGTTTTAAGTTTTAATTAAATGATATAATATCATTGTATAAGAAAAACGATTCTGAGCGAAGATGGTCAGTCAGCCTATGATATTACTAAGTATGTTTGATGATATTATTGTGAATAAAGTAATTTACATATTATAACCAATATAACCTATTTACGTGGAATCTTCTTTTAAATTTTTAATCCTTAGCTATAAAAGTTCAACGTTTTATACATTTTTCACTACAAAATAATTATTAGATTTTAAATTTGATCAATTTTGTGAAAATTTGAAACTTTAGATGTTTATAAAAAAAATTGTGATTATGTATTTTTAATATTTTTCAACTACTATGATGACAATATTTCAAGAGCCATGTATTAAAATATGTTCACACATTTTTAACCAACAAATAAAATTGTATTGACAATTATAGAAAAAAAACCAAAAAAATTGAAAACTTAAAATGTCCGTAAACAGCTCAAAACGAGTTCATAATTGTAAGCTGTATAGAATATGGAAATATAAACATTCAGTGAAATTCTCATGTATCTACAGTTTTTGAATACCAACAAAAAAATAAGAAATTCGCTACTTGAGAAATCGATTGAATATCCAATGTTGAAAAAATATGAACTATATAAATTTAATTTTGACTCTCTTGTGGACATTTTTTTTTTTTTGATATAAAGATAGACAGCCTTATGAGGAATTTTGTATTACATTTTTAAATCTTATAGGTTTAGAATGAACAATTTTTAGGAATTTCTAACTCAAAATAATTTGCACATTTTCGTGTTTTTTACGTATTTTGTCAAGATTGAACTTTAAATGCGTATAAAAATTGTTACTATGGAATTTTAACATTTTTAATAAGTCATTGTTACAATAACTTATTAGTCTTGTACTAAAATGTCAAGCATTTTATCCAAACTATTAAAAAATTAGTTAAAAAGGAAAAAAAAAATAAAAATAATACACATCATTGTTAAATAAAATACATAATATTCGTTGCTCCGCTCAGAATAATGAACGAAAAATAAAGAAAAACTGAGAATTTAAGAAAGCAATAACTGAGAAAGCAGGCTTTGTTTTTTGATTTAGGTAACTGTAATTAAAATAACTGTTGGTATATGACATTTTCACAGAATTTTTATTTACGCATTTTATACACACCATACAATTTAAAAAAAGTAGTTTTGAGCTATTCGTGGACATTTAAAATTTAAAAATTTTTTAGTTTTTTTTCCTACATCTCAATATCTAATATCCATATTATGTTGTTTCTCCTCAGAAATTTTTATGACAGCAGCTGTAGTTGAGAAATATCAAAGAACCATAAAGCCATTTTAAATTTGTCGTGTATAAATTGAAAATAAATTGATCACCCACTCCGCATGACTATATTATATTATTCTGTAGTTACGCACTCTGAACTTGCAGGCCTCAGAACGTTAGCTGACAGAAGGCTTGAATAAAATTAAACATTGACGTCTCATCGATGATGGCATTATTGATTTTCCTGAATGGCAGTTGACACAATAATTAACTTTAAAGTTCCAAAACGTTATGTACCTACTTGTTTTCTTTACCTTTATTCAACAGCAATTATTGGAAATAATCACCCAATCGTGGAATGATGAGTTGGGCTGGAATGCAATAAAAAGTTTTAAGACATTCGTTTTACTAACCAATATATATGCAAAAATATGCGAAAACAATTAATTTTTTTAGTTCTGCATGACATTTAATATTTTTTTTTTACATAAAAATAAAAAACTTATTGAACCAGAAACTAATATCGTCAATTATTATTTATTTTTTATATAGAACTATTATTTATTATAGTTATTATCACATACAATATTGTTGGAATGATAATGTTACGTCCTTTCAAATTTTGACTGTCCATTTGAATACGAAAAATGGATATATATCGACTAAAACTTGTCGTAAAAAACAAAAATAATATTATATAGGTTATCCTATCAGTCGTCTGGCCAAGATAAAATTAGATAGTAAATTCCTTTTTCTCCTAGCTTTAGGGGCCTTTGCACATCAAGGACCGTGGCTACAAAACAAAATACTTTCCAACCGTCTCTACCCAGAGCTAATTCATTAATATCGTCTAACCCTAGTTGGCTTGGTTCTCTATTGCCTTTGTTAAACCATCTCTGTTTTGGTCTTCCAATTGGTCTCCAGTTTGTTATTAGTACGTGACCAAGGCAACCCAGTCTCTTGTGTCGCATTTCAACGATTGTACTTGGTTTTCCGAATAACTCCTGTAGTTCCCCGTTAGCACTAATTTCGTATGTTTGGTCGGGTAAATTTAGTAAATTTACTGCAGTTCAGCAAATAACCCAATAATTATTATATACCTTGATTAAATATTACCATTAAAAATGCATGTGATTTTCAAATATCAAATTATGCAATTTTATGCATTACGTTCAAAACGTTCAAAAATATTAAATAAAAAAGTTATTCCATTTAATCGAGAATAATCCAAATCGTGAACATATCCGACAACCAATCAATTTAGAAGTCTTAGCCCTAAAAACCGATGAGTTTAACCCGTCGTTGGTGACGCCATGAGCATAATTTCGCTCACATAACTGTTATTTTGGGAGCCATTGGCTTCAAATTATTTTGTTTATATCGATATTTTTAGTATGCTCGTACAATAGTTACTAATGGAAATAAATAAGTGGAAAATATCTAATCTATATATAAATTGTCCGTCTTATTACTATCAAATGTCGACAGTTGGTTACCAAGTATTTACCAGCATTTGCTCTCCGGGGATCGGCGGACAAATTATTTTAGTCAAAACATACCAATATTTCTTCCATCATACTGATCGACCTAGTAATGCGATAATAGTTTTTAAAACTGATTTGGATTCGTTGTAATGTCTACGTATAGACTAGCCAGTCCACTTTTCCCAATTTCACCCTTCCAAAAGTAATTAAATGTGAGCGAAACGCTAACACGTCACTAATGATGTGAAAAATGGGTTAAGTAGCAAATAAGGATCCTTCAAGTCTATTGGTTTGATTATTTTGCACGTATTACGTATTATAATATATCCTTTTAACTTAACTAAACGAGTTAAAAAAATCGTTAACTTGTCCAGCCTTAGATTTAGGCATGTCCCTCGCGTGTCGTAATAAAATTAATGTTATCATCGGCTGCAGCTGCATTTTTCCCAAAACGCAACGATGCAATTATACGCGTTATGTTCAAATATTCAAAAAATATAGAATAAAAAAGTCATTCCATTTAATCGAGAATAATCCAAATCGTGACAAGTGACAACCAACAATTTTGGACTCGACGAAAAAAACACGCAAACGCATAGAAGTCTTAGCACTAAACATTTATGAGTTTAAGTGGCGAATAAGAATCCATCAATACTCTATTTGTTTAATTATTTCGTACGTATCGTGTATTATATTATTTCGTATGTATTTACTATCTCTTATTGATTTTGGTATGTCCCACGTGTCGTAATAAAATTAACGTTATCATCGGCTGCAGCTGCATTTTTCCGAAAGCGGATCGACAGAGTGAAAAATAATCATAACAACAACAACAACAACAACGACAACGACGATAATTATGATCGCGTGGCGCCGACCACAGTCAATTAAGGACTCGACGAATTAATTTCGTAGTTGCAGCAGTAGGTGCCTATACCTATTACCTGGTATATGATGTACCTACCTATATTCTGCACTGCACAACACGCCCGCAATGAACGTCGGATGGGTTGAGGGGAAAAAATTCGGTAACAATAATTTACGATCCGTCCGACACCCTGTCGCATCTGCACCCTTGTGGGAAGGGGGGGTTCGAGCCGGCGTTAAATTAATAATTACAAGGGGTGTAACGGTTCTCGCCAAATGTAATGGGTACCGCAGCCGAGGAAAGGTCTTCATATAAATAATAATAATAATATTAATAACAATGCGCGTATTGTTTCGCTTCTCGTTCCGTAACCTAGCCGTACACGGAACCTATAATAATAATATTGTACAGCGGTGGCCAAGACCTGTGATCAATGATCTCCCGGCTCCGCCCAGATTAGACACCTATTACGGTTATCTTTATTACATTCACTTGTATGTGCCTATGTACAACGGGTGTGATATCGCACACCTACTGCTTATTATAATTATTGTTACCGGATCGTCCAGTGAGACGAGCACACGCACACACCCGACACAGGTATAATAATAATATACCGTATACCGCACGCGCGGTAAGGAGGTAAATATACCACTCTAACAAGTGTGTGTGCCAAGGTTTTAAATGACGATAATGTGTTATCATGTATTATAATAATTATCAGGCGCCGCCGATGAACACCGTATACAGGGCGATCCGTCCAAATTGTTTCCCCTTTGCTTCATTTATTCGAATTCTGGTTTTTTGAATTTTCAAGCATGCTCAAATCTTACCATATTTTAAAATTCAAGATACTTTCTGTACATTCTACTCCCTGCCCAGTGGCGACAATAGCTTCGGATTTTCAAATGACGACTTTCGTTTTTCACTGTAAACAGTGGGTGATTTTTTTGACAATTAATTCATTCGTCCAATTACGAATAGTTTCTTTGTTAAAATGCCATAACATTTCTATGTCTATGCTAAGGAAAACATTATTTGTCCTTAAAAATGGTTTGATTTTCCACAACACGAAATGGGTGGTTCCATTTTCCTCCAAAACGAGATACCGTTTTCCACCACAAAAAAAAGGTTGGTTTCCATTTTCCTCCACATTTTCTTCGACTAAAATTATGTCTATTCTAATCCAATCTTTTAGCCAGTGTTGTAGAATTACGTTCCGTATTATAAAGATAGAGTAAGGCTAGGATCACATTTTGTACTTATTGGTCGATGATTGTATAACATGTAACCAGTTACAATAAATTGAGTCCAACCCTGTTAGATAGATAGATAAGGGCGTTGCCATTTTCGTCCAAAAACGAAATACCTACCGTTTTCCTCCACTGTCCATTTTCCGCCACATAGTATAATATTATGGACTGCCGACTAATAGGAGATACGAAAGTGATTCGAGAGAGTCCGAAAGACTAACCTCAGGAGCAGTGACCTGGTTGGATTCTCTGGATATCGATATTTAATCCAATTTAATTGAATGCAATATTAGACATGTGATCTTTATATATTATAAAAACGTGAGGCGATTTCTTATGACAGTTATATCTGAAGTTCTACTGGACCGATTTTCATGATTTCTTTTTCTAACCCAAGTACTCGGTGTGCAGATGAGCCATCAAAAGAGAAAAGTCCAAAAAATAAATTATTTAAATAGTTATTAGAAGTATTAATAGTTAGTCGTATGGTTGCATAGCAGCATTCGTTGACGACGACAACCCAACATACTCACAGTAATGTAGCATTGTCGTCGTCGTCGAATGTCAAATTTTATAATTTGTCGTTCGTTATCGTCTCCGTCGTCGTTGAATAACAACCCGAGTATTTTCGATTTCGTCATTTCGCGTACATCAGAGAAGGCTGAACTCATTAAAATTATTATTATAAATATACATACAATGGAATAACTATAAAAACTTGAAATAAAAATCTCTCTACAGGCCACGATTGAAGACATACCTAGATATATCTTTAATCGTGGTACAGGCTAAACTGTGGAACTATTTATCAGATGTTCTTGATTTTTGTTTTTAAACGTGAGATTGTTTCACAGAGAATAAGGCTTATATGAAAGAAAATTTTAGGAAATTTCACCGGTGTATAATAATATATTGGTTGCTAATCACTTGCTATATTGGTTGATCGGGCATGTTTGTTGATTTGTATTATTATCTTTGGACAAGACGATCTGATGAGTAGTTCCAAAGTTTATAGTCTGTATATTTATATAGTTATATATAGTTAATGTTTGTGGGTAGATTAGACATCTGGGAAGAAGATGAGTTAATTTACAAAGGGTTAAATTTGTTTTTTTTTTATTCATCGGATTTTAGTAACGTTAGGATTTTGTATAAACCGATTATATTAATCCACCGTAGGTGGAATTAAGTAAAAACGACAAACTTGGTATAATTTTGATATTTTAGAGTTAATCATACTACGTCCGCGATCTATCGCAGGTAGTGATGATCAAATTGGTCTTGGTCTTGCGGTCTCGCAAGACTCTTGCTGCAAGACCAAGACCAAGACCAAGACCAAGACGGTACTGGTCTAGCAAGACCAAGACCAAGATTAGGCTTGCAAGAACAAGACCAAACCAATACCGAAGCTGCAAGACCAAGACTAAAACAAGACCATCACTGCAAGACTCTTGCAGTCTTGCAATTTTTTTTCCCCAAAAATACATTAGTGTGTACCTATCTAGATTCCATTAACTAATAATTTATAACGAAAATAATAAGAATTTATTTGTATTGTTATGAAATTTTATCAATACCTATATTCGAGGAAATTACGAATTATTGAAAAAAAGATTAAAAATATAATGAGAATTAATATTACAAAATAACATAGTTGTTTCATATACTAATTAACAATTACTGAAAAATTATTTTACTTTCCCAAAATCGATAAAACGTCGAATGTTGTCTTGCTAATAGAATAATGTATGTCCATAACACACCTTTACTTTGAATCGAATATACTAATAATTGCTGAAAGTCATTACGGTCTACGGTAGGTATCATTTTAATAGGAAGTACGTTTTTATTTTCATTCGTAGCTTGTGTGATTTTTCTGTACTGCACATTGTGTTCTTAAACTAGTGTCAGTACAGTACCTATAGCATTTCATTAATGTCGTAAACTTGTTGTCTGTTAGTAATACACCTTGTTATACCTAGTTATTGTTACTGACTTACTGTACTGATGTAGGTATGCACTTTACACTTTACAGTTATCTTAAATACAATGTTACTACTTAACTTAGTTGACATTAAGATAATTAAAAACTTTTTCTAAAAATAAAATGTAGGTACCTAATAAGATTTACAGAAATGGTTTATTGCCAATATATTATATTAAAAGAAACTTAAACATTTAGTACTACTGTACTGGACACTGGTGAATAAAAGAAGAATAAAAGTTTAATTATAAATAATAAATATTATCATTATAACAATTAATATCATTATTAAGCAATTTAATATTTGGAACAAACCATACAGTTTTTTTAAATATTATTATTAGTTAAATTGAACATTAAAAAAACAACAATTTAATTTTTA